GTATCAGCTTCACAACCATGCAGAACAGAGCTGATGTACAGTCTAGTGCCTCGATTTGTTTTCATGGTTTATAATGTACTGTAATTTCTGTATCAAAATATATTTGTATCATTGCAGCATGTTTTACGTTTTCTGACTACATATCTATATATTTTAAAAAGGTGGGAGGGGTAAGGTTTGAATGTGAATCCGAAGTCTTCATTTCGTAGCCTGGAATTTTATGATAGTAACATTTTAAATAAAATCTGCTCTGGGGATTTTGCAACATACTTCCTTTGGTGATAGTGATGGCGTTATTTCCAGAATGAGACACAGATCCAAGAAACTGATCTCAGACTAGAATACACTGCAGCATAATGACTTCCTTTTGCAGGGAGGCTGTGGGCCTCCTCCTGTAGGGCTGGTGACAGCTTTGCGGGATTTGCTACTGGAGGCAGCAGCTCTGGGTCACTCAAGGTGCCACCCCTATGGAATCCAAAGTCTGCGCTGGCTGAGTGAGAAGGGCCCACTGTGTCCTCCAGTTCATTTTCTGGATTTCATCCACTATTGTCTGTTATTTGAAAGCCAAGCTTTTAATAAATTGTAGCCCTCTGATTCACAATAAAAACACCTGTTGACTTGGACCAATGCAATGTAAGAGAAAAACATGTGGGTATAATTACCTTTTTAATTAAAATGTCTGGTTACTATATTTCCAGACAGTCTCAAAATGCTACATTCACCTCACCAGCTGCCAAAGCATCTGGAGATCTATTTTTTTTCCATCTGCTAAAAGCTATCATTCTCTGTTGCCTTCATACAAGCCTTCATTGTAGACTAACCAGCAGTAAAAACATAGTCTGTACAAGCTGAATTTCAAAATAAGCAGTACAAAAGGAGTAACTAGTTGTTGTTTTCCATTTTTGAAGTGAACTCAGCAAAATCAATTTTCAAGTTTATCTGAGACATTCCCACAGCTGTACCTATTAGCAGTGCTGACAGACATAGGCCCTTCCTTCTGCTGTATATTGATGAGATTCCCCCAGAGCCTCCTCTTCCCCAGACTGAACAGCCCCCGCTCTCTCAGCCTCTCCTCACAGCACAGATGTTCCAGTCGCTCCATCATGTTGGTGGGCCATCCTCAGACTCTGCAGTGCCCAGGTCTCTCCTGCACTGAGGAGCCCAGAACTGGACCCAGCATTGCAGGTGTGGTCTCACCGACACTCAGTGAGGGGCTGCGTTGGCTCCCGCTGAGCTCAGTGAGCAGGGGAAGCTGTGCTGAGCTGCAGGCATTGCTGAGGGATCACAGCCATATGCACGTGTGCACTGAGTAATGCTCAGTGAAGGGGGAAGAACAAATAGCCCCAGACAGCAGGGAGGGTGAGTCTCATACATGTGGAAGGCAGCACAGGTGTTAGTTAACAGTGTCCAGTAGAGGTAAGGCCTGAATCTTCTGGTGGAACCATTTTCCCTGGAAGGAAAAGCTGACCCTTCAGCTTCACAAACCCTCCTGTTATATGGATCCCTGCAGAATGCTTATCAACATTTGAAACAGCTTGTCTTCATTTCTGATAGCATAATAAAGCAAGGTTTGTGCTAATTCACGTTTTGAACAAGAAAACTGGCATTGATGTCTATGCTTGCACAGAAACACATTCCCAGGTACGAATAGAACAACCACACAACATGAGACAGGGACTGAAACATTCCAGCTAACTCCGCCAGCAGCAAAAAATGGGTAGCATTTCAGGGCAGTTTCCCCAGTTTGAGAAGGAGCATTTGGGAGCATGTTTGGAGCAGCAGCCCATCCCTGCAGTGTGCAGGGAGGACATGCCTCACTTCAGTGATGCTCTGGAGGATGAGAAAGAGGAGGAGGGGAAGATTCCTGTTTCCCTCCGGTGTTCTGCCCATGCTCATCTCACTGCCATCAGGGTCCTCCTGATGCTACAAGGCAAAAGTGCAAATTCACAGCCTAATTCTTATGCCTTTATTTCTGCTTTTATTAGAAACAATATAGTTTATGCGTTATTGAGAGCTAAAACTTCAGATGTACTTTTTAATCATTTGTCTTAATCTCCCTTGTGAGGCAGTTCTCTCCCTTAGCTTTTAAATACTTTTACGTGATAGACAGCATTGTAGCCCCAGGCCACCTGCGTGTTCAGCCCCACAACTCAACTGCAAGTTCTGGGAGGGTTTCACTGAGCCCCCCACCGCTCTGTCACTTCCAGCCACATCCATGACACAGGCAGAGCCATTCCTGTTTGTAACAGCCTGACATCATCGGTGAAGCTACAGTATGGCATCAATCAGTGAAATGGGAGTAAGCTTTTAGAAAAAAAATATTGAAAATCTGTCTAGGAAGTCAGCACAGAAAGCAATCCCAGAGTGATGCTGGTAATTGTCCCACTGGGGAGGAGCTGTAGGCAGTTTGACATTGCAGGCACCTTCAAAGCACTCTGCCTCCTTTTTGCTTCTATTTTCCCCCAGAAATACATCATACACATGCTTTATGGCTGGTGGCTGCTCACTTGCTGCCCACCAGCGCAACTTTGTGTCCCGTATCCCAGTTCCTTCTGGCTCCCCCATGTTTGCTGGTTCTGAACCGGGAAGCAGCTCCTCACTTCCATCATCACAGTTAATTAAGGCATAGAGTAAAACCTGAATGATTAATGTTGCAACAAGTTAACACTTGGCTGAAGTAAGACCCTATCGGCAATCCCCATGGAGGCTACAGTTGGTAATGTCTCTCTCACACACAAATGCACTCCCCTCCCCAGGCAGGGGATGCTGAACCCACACTCTCAGCAGCCTGCCTTGAAACGTGACCCAGAAGACAGTCAGCTCCATCCATCACCACCACTGCTCTGCTGTATTGAGGCTGTTTTCCCACCATGCAGATGTGGCAAAATTCACTGCGCAAGACTGCCAGAGGTCTGCCCCTGCCTGCAGCTCACACCAGGGCAGCTTGGGTCTCGCAATACTTGCCCACCCAGCTGCCACTAGTGAGTCCTTTGTTGCTGTCCTGCAAGGCTGCTGGCTTTCAGTACAGTCCTAAGCAAAAGAAGAGGAAGAATCTGGAAATGTCTGAGCAGAGTGATCCCTGCAGAGGAGCCCAGTCCCCCGATATTGTTAGCTGGAGCAGAGTAGCACCAAGAGTTGTTTTTTAAATTATTCATGTGATTCTTAAAAATGCTGTTTTTTTTCAGACTAAGCCAATAAGAGCTCCTTCAGAGCTACCAAGAACCATTATCTATATGAAGACTTTGTCCCTGTATGTACCTAAACTACAGCTCAGATAACTGCTTCAGCATAAAGAGAACTGTGCAAGTCCCTCTGCGAACTTTGTTATAGACCAAATTTTCCTGAGCAATTCCCATAGCCACAATATTGTAGACTTTGTTAATGAGCATTGCCAGTATGCTAGGACAGGAGCACGCAGCAGCTCTTTCCCCAGGACATTGCCACACTACTCTGCCAGGATGCAGCTGCCTGTGGGACTGCATACAGTGTGGCGTCCTCTTGCTATCTACAGAATGGTGCACTTCCCTTGTAGGAAACAGTTGATACCTGAAGGGTAGGTTTGTGTTTGTTTTTGTTTTGCTGTCAGCAAGTGTAGAGTGCTCGAATCTATCTACATCCTTCAGGGACACTATGGAGACCCTCTTCACATTACTCTCAGTGTTTCTGAAAGAGCACAGACTGACACATTTGTCAACAGGAGGGGCATCTAGGATCTGCGGAATTCACAGAACCGCAGAATCACAGGGGTTGGAAGGGTCCTCAAGTGATCATCACGTCCAACCTCCCTGCTAAACACTTACCCAACAACAGGTTGCATAGGCGGGCGTCCAGATAGGTCTTGAATACCTCCACAGAAGGAGATTCCATAGCCTCCCTGGGCAGCCTGTTCCAGTGCTGCATCACCCTTACTGGAAAGAAGTTCTTCTTCATGATCTTCCTGTGTTCAGGCTTTAGGCCATTTCTCCTTGTCTTATAGCTACACACCACCAAGGAGAGCCTGGTCTCAGCCATTTATCTCTCACTGCATTTTAGATATTTATGAAAATATTTATATTTATTTCATAGAATCACAGGATGGTTTGGGTTGGAAGGGTTTTAAGATCATCTAGTTCCTACCCCTTAGCTAAAGGCAGGGACACCTCCCTTTGGATCAGGTTGCTCAGAGCCCCATCCAGCCTGGCCTTGCACGCTTCCAGGGAGGAGGCAATCACAACCTCTCAGGGCAACCTGTTCCAGTGTCTCACCACCTTCACAGTAAAGAATTTCTTCCTACATGCCCTTACAAAAAGTCCTTCCCCAGCTTTTCTGTAGGCCCCCTTCAGGTACTGGAAGGCCACTATAAGGTCCCCCTGGAGCCTTCTCTTTTCCAGGCTGAAGAGCCCCACGTCTCTCAGCCTGTCCCTGTGGGGTAGGTGCTCCCAAAAGGCATAAGCACACGTAGAAAAGCACTACAATTCAAGCAACATCCTCCAGAAGAAAACCTTGCTTGGATAAGACATTCCTTTGTTGCTGAAGGAACAAACACATACAACAGGGCTACATTAAGACTTCATTTCAAAGCAGAAGTTAAACATTGAACCTCTCTGATAACAGACTTTCTGAGTGAAAAATGGGCTATAGTTATACCTTTTAAGTTATATGATGGGCACAACTGCAAAATTAAGTTTTCAGGATGATAAAAAAGCAATATTTTAAGAAACATTTTGCATATACCTGCAGTTATTTAAAGGTGAAACATTTTGCTTATGCACTTAGCTGTTTTTTTAATTGCTCACAGGATGTGCCCATGCACTTGAGATTATTTTAATAGCTGTACACCATGCAGCTGAGGAAATTATGTTGCTTGCTGTTTCATTTTTCTTACAGCTTTTGTTTGTGAGACGCATCAAACAGTGCAATACTGGGATTCCACGCAGAAAAAGAGCTGCTGTTTGTTCTCATTAAGGCCTGCAGGGCAGCCCATGCTCAGTCCTCCCCTGTGCTGTGCTCCCAGCTGCAGCTCAAGCAGCCTTGGGCCCTGGCACCTGCTGCATGTCCTGGTGCTGCAGCAGGTGCTGCTTGGGGTGGGCTGCTTTGAAGGAAATCACCTGGAAAGGAAGACATCAGCATAAATGATTTCCTTTCAAAGTGCACACTTCTGTTCGGTGCTGAGAGCTCACCAAGAGTTTATTTGCTTATCTTTTTCAATTGTTTTCTAAGGAAAGTTTTGTTTTATCATCGTTGCTGGGATTGCTGCGTGTAAAGCACACAGCTACCTGCATTGCAAGAGGATGATTTATTGCACTGAATATGAAATATGAATATCTCATCCACCACTTACCAGTACAATGGCTAAATGAATATGGGCTGGAGCACTTTGCAGCTCAGACAATGTATGTTTGTTAGCAAAAGAAAAAATAATAAAGTAGAAACAATAATAACATTTTTCTTCTGTCCCTCTCAAGCCAATTGAATTTGCTCTGCTTCCCAGATTGAAGTGTTTGTGTTGAACAGCAACCAACAAGCCCATTACATATTACAAACCATATTAGAGAAAGTCAGCTTGAACTATAACATTGATACATTATTAGTACATTTCAAAGATATTTATTTAATGGTAGTAGATTTTATGGTGAATTACGTAGCCAAGATAGAACCTTTCATATTTTCCTTTGCCAAGCAAAACAGATGTTTCAAAGCTTTTAATGCCAATTCTTACAAAGCTTGTCCAAGAGGCTCCTCGAGAAAGGTGCCCAAAGCCAACACAGTGCTGACAAATCTCACTTTCTCTGATGTTTTCGACTTGTAGCGGGGTCATAGGATTATATGAGATTCCCAAACTTTGTGCTGTACAAGAAATGAAGTTTACAGGCAATACATTAAGAAAATAAAATATTAAAATGGCTCAGAAAGGAGAATATTTCCATTATAACAGAAATGGAATGTTTCAGTGAGTCTTATAAAATTTCACGAGTTTCACCACATTAGTTTGGAGGAGCTTATAAACAGAAGGGACATCACCTGTTTACATGGCCTGATAGTGATAGGACCTGTGGGAATGTCTTTAAACTAAAAAAAGGGGAAATTTAGGTTAGATGTTAAGAAAAAATTCATTACTGAGAAGGCAGTAAGGTGCTGGCACTGCTGCCCAGAGAGCTGTGGTGCCCCATCCCTGCAGGTGCTCAAGACCAGACTGGACGGGGCCCTGGGCAGACTGAGCTGCTGGGGGGGGGGAGGGGGGGCAGCCCTGCCCATGGCACAGGGTTAGAACTGGATGATCTTCAAGGTACCTTCCAACCCAAGCCATTCCATGATTCTATGTAAAATACGTCTATCTATCTTTCATTGGTGCAAAGAGCATTTTTAAGATTTTCTCAGCAGGACTTTTGATTTGAGCTTTCAACCTTTTGGTCAACTCTTAGAATTGTGCAGTAAAAGTTTTCACTTCCTGACACAGAAAATACGTGCAGAAGCTGCCATGGAGTATCGCTTCCTTAATCTTTATTAATATTTGGCTATTAACTCACGTGGTGATGCTAAGAAACAAGAGGGAATTTATTTCTATTTGTACTAGAGATTCAGCAGTTTTACCTGAATGGGATATTTCGGTGATCTGAAACTCAGAGCATGCAAGCTTTTTGGTTATCCAAAAAAAGAAGAAAAAAAAAAGCATATTTAAAACAATTTAAATTGTATCACAAAATACTGTATTGAGAAGAACTACACAAGTCCTTTCTGAAAGGAAACCATGAGCAGGGCCCAGTAGCACCATCCAGCAGCCAGAATCCCTTCTTTCATGCAGCTTTCACTGACAGAGATAACCATGCTCCAAAACACAGGAAGAGAAGTGAGCTCAGGCGTTCAGAGCAGCAAGGTGACCACAGTGCTCTCTGTAGCACACTGCTACACCTTTTATACACACCTCAAGAGATACAACAACCTCAATACTCCCAAACACACACTTTAAGCATTTGACCCAGCTGACCATTTGGCCACTGCTGTAGTATTTAAGGGTGATTATGGCACAGTCCTAAAGTTCAATACTTTTTCAAAGCCCTGCTCCACTGAAATGCCCATGAATCTGTTTTTGCCTCTACTGAGCAAAGGAGATCAAAAGTTATAATGGAACAAAAAACGGCCCCTGATTGTTTGCAACATTATTTCAGGTAATGTAATTGAATATAATGAGTGATACCTCCTGTACTTTGGTTTTGATATTGATTCCTTCAGATTTGTCTAAAATAGAAACAATTAAACAAGCAAATAATGATCCTGAGATTTAGATTAAAGATAAACCTTAAACAAGAAGCACATTCCATAGAGTATCCTGAATGGAGCCATCCACTTTGGCCTGTCAAATAATGGTATGGTTTCAGAGGCAATTACATTTGCTATTTACCTATCTTTCTCCCTGTGTTTGAAGTAAAAACAATGTGTTACCTTGCTCCACTTTTTGCTTAGCCTTGCACACCAAGATATCTCTTCATCCACTGAACTGCAACTTACAAGGAACATAAATGGGAGAAGCTGTGGAGCTGCCGAGCACAAAATCACTCCATCTCCGGTCCTGTAAGCACCACGTGCCAGGCATCACCTGGAATGTGCTCTGTGGCTCTTGGTACTTAGCAGAGGTGAGACAGGAACTCAAAGGCCAAATGTAACTATTGTTCTATTGTCAGCAGCCTGATAATAACAATATTTATCTTAAATGTGTGCTGGTTGCCCATCACCTGTTCCTTACCCAGTTGTTAAAAACTGCTGATGTCCCTGTAATACCAACTTTCTATGAAATAATCTGTAGTAAAGTGTTGTGTCTGAAGACAGAAGAAAGTTTTGTTCCACTGTGACACCAGGCTTCCTACCATCCCAGCTGCAGACCTGCTCTTTGGCACTTCAAAATTAGCAATGAGAAATCAGCTGGGAGCCAGAGAGATGCAAATATTAAGGGCAGCTTTTATCCACCGGGATAATGTAGCATCTTTCATTCCCTCTGAGGAATTGTGACAGAGCCAAGTCATCACTGGAAAGTATTTGCATATTAAAATTGTTTCATTATCTCATAAAAGTCTCTAATCAGTCATTGGTGTGCTAAGAGAAGAAGAACGTTAACCAAAAGGAAGAGGAAATAAATGCAAATACATCTTCACAATCCCAAGCAGCAAAAGACTACAAAAATATCAGGTAGATTTGGGACAAAAAGTAATGACAAAAATAATAAAAATATGATTTTGACCATGATAAAAGGAAATACACCATAGTAGTTGATTCTTTCATAGGCTACCCCAGTAAGACATTTATGCAGAGGACACACTTCTACAGAGAGTCAGCCACTGCATTTATCTTCTTTTTCTATTTCAAGCTGGGGCAGTAAGCCGTGCTTAATTTTAAACATGACAGGAGGGCTGTCTGACAGCTCCAGCTGTTTCAGCTTGTGCTCTTCTGCACCACAGCAGAAGTATCTGAGCAAAATTCAACATGAATCACCCTGAGCTGTTTTGAAATCATTTAATTCTTTAACAGATAAGGAGGTATGATTTAAAAATAAATAAATCATGCTGAGGGATTTGAACAAAATTTCTGTAGCCTGGCATCCGTCACAAGTCATATTTGGAAAATACAGGGAGACAAGGGAAAAAAAAACAACTACAACACACCAAAGAGACACCTCTAGACCTACCAGCACCATTGGTGGCTTCTCCCTGTGGAAGGCTGTAGGTTTCTGGGAGCACAGGTATGGCTCCATCCCCTTTCTCACCCCTCACCTACATGAGCTTCTGACTTTTGCCCTCATGACATTCACCTTACAATTGCACACTGCCCACGTACACTCAAATTATCTTCCTCCCAGACCAGGTCCTACAGGCCCTCACTTGAATGAGTAACACTGCTGGAAGTGTTTCAATCCTCAACTACCCTGGCCTGGCCAGATCTGAGCTGGTGGCTCTGCCTGGGCTCACTGGCACCATGGCATGACTCTCTCAGCCACATGACCTTCCTGATGCCCCAAAGGGCAGCAAACATTCAGTAGGGACACAGCTGTCCAGCAGCATCTCCTGGCACACAGCATAAAAGTACGGCCTCAATCTCACGGCTATGCTGCACAATTGCACTCAAAAGAGAGAGGAAGCCTGCTTCACTTCCCCCCGGAAACATATTTAAGTTCTAGATCCCCATTTTTCTCCCGCAGAGAAGAAAATAATAACAAAAATTCCACCTTCCTGCTGAAAACTCCAAACCAAGATCATTGTAACAAAGGGAGCACATGCAGCCAGAAGTGAAGAAAACGTGGATCCCAGCTGGCCATTCCTGAACTTACCTCCACAGCATCTTCAGAAGGCAGAGAAATGAAATGGCTCTGCTAAAGAGGGGAGAGGGGCTGAATTGCTTTTTGCAGCTCATCAGGGAAGTTTATGTTGGAGTGAGGAGCTGAGCACAAGTTTCCCATCCCCTTAGAAAATGAGAAGTTCAAAACCTGTGCTGATAGCAGCATCTCACTGTGCCTCACAGAACGACATGTGAGGCATTATTTCAGAAAATGGAGCTGAGTATCACTCCAAAATGCACACATCTCTTTTCTCAATGACCTTTGAGTTGGCAATGCACCTTTTGCATGAGTAACTCATCCACTGCCAAGATAGGCAACTCTACCACCACCTAAACCAGATTCTGCACTAAAAACTCATACTGATTTATGGCCCATGAAGCTCTAAATTCCCAGACACTGGCTCTGTGTGGAGTCCTCTGTGTCAGCAGACTTTTTAGCTGCGGGCAGTGAAGAAAAAAATCCTTTTTGCAATTCAGAAAAGACCAGAAAGGGCAGACTGCTCGAAGCTGGGATTCCTGCACATTTCTGAAATACACCACAAGGAATCCAAACATCTGCAGAGGGCAGTCCATCATCTGCCCAGGTAACAGCAACCTGTTCGCCCACCGTGCAGCTCCCCTATGCTTCCTCACCTACCTGATTTAAGCTGGAGGAAACAATCACATCATCTTCCTGCCTGTCCTCAGAGGCTGCCATAAGAGTTACAATTAGCATCAATTGGGATAATCATTCTATTTGCATTTTTAAGCTATTATTAGCAAGCCGTCAGTCAGCCAATAATTTGCATCACTACCTACCTCCTTTTTGTGCTAAAATAATAATGGTTTTAATCAAAAGCAATTTGTATTAATATATGTTTTGCCCCAGGTGTTAAGAGCAGTCTCCAAGAGCGGTGGCGAGAGATGTTAAATAACACCATTTATTAATATAGATGACTACTGATAGCCTTGGAAGTAGCAGAAATGGAGGCTCTTTTTGCAGGCAGCTTCTTAGCAGAACTCCCAGGCACACAGAGGGTCACACACTGCATGAACACCTATGCTCCCTACATTAACAATCACAAGAATGGTGTGGAGGAGTAGATCTCAGAGTAAAACCAATGTTTCCCATTCCACAGCCCAGTGCTACCTTACACATTCCTTAGAACTAGCATTATCTACTTGTTTCAACTCACATTTCTGATTTGTAATATCATAACTGGTTTTAAATTACTTTCAAAAGCAACAATGAGTGCACTCAGTGCATTTAGCTCTGAGCTGCCTTCTCACCTGCAGCACCAGCATAATAAGCTCTGCGCGGTATCTCGCGAGCAAGTTTAATTAACCCTTTCCTTTCTATTATCTTTGCTCCTGTTCTAATCTAATGCTTAATAATAAATCCCATCAACAAGCGCATGTGAAAAACCGAGCTCCGGACACAAAGCGGAACCGGACAACAGCGGCTTTCAGGACCACGAGCGGGCAGCTCGCGGCGCCGGGCTGCCAGCGGCTGCCAGCGGCTGCCCTCTGCCGGCCGGGAAGGGCCGAGAAGGAATTCTGCCTGCTCTACAGCACAGCGATGCTCCGCCCTGCCCAGGCGCAGGCTTCTTCGTAGAGAAAAGTGGTCCCTCGTTGCTGATACCTAATCGGCTATAATAACGTGTGAACATAGTCCTGATTATTTTTTTCCCCAAATTAAATGTGGAAAGAAAAGGAGGTGAACGCAGAAAGACAGAAAGTAAAACTTTTTGGAGAAGAGAAAGCTCCGGGTAGACCTCCTTGTGGCCTTCCAATACTAGAAGGGAGCACAGAAAAAGGAGGAGAATGGCTGTTCATGAGGATGGATAGTGATAGGACAAGGGGGAATGGTTTTAACTGAGACAGGGGAGGTTTGGGTTAGATATTAGGAGGAATTTTCACAAAGAAGGGGGTGAGGCACTGGAACAGGTTGCCCAAGGAGGCTGTGGATGCCCCATTCCTGAAGGCATTCAAGGCCTGGATGTGG